GCCACCAGACTCCGATTGCCCTTGGCCTGGCCCGGCCGTGGCACCATTCACAATGAATGGGGCCCTCGGCTGCGGGACACTCAGAGCCCAGTGGCTCCTGCAGAGGCAGCGCTGGGGAGCTAAGCGGGGGGCACATGGATCCTGGGCTGTGCATAGAGCAGACGCAGCTGCAGCTATGAGTCTCACCACTAAGCGGGCCGGGCAGCAAGGCACGTGTGTGTGGCATGTGGCTGGGTGGGTATGGCGTGTGTGTGTGGCTGGGTGTGTGGGTGCAGCATGAGGCTGCATGTGTGGCTGCGTTAACGTGTGGCTGGGTGGGGCAGCATGTGTGGGGCAGTACCATGTGTGGCGCTGCATGGGGATGGTGTGTGGAGCTGCATGTGGGGGTGCGGCTGGATATGTGCAGCGTGCAGCTGGGTGTGTCCGTATGTGCAGGTTGCGGCTGGGTTTGTACAGCGTGTAGCTGGATGTGTGTGTGTGGCGTGTGGTTGGGTACATGCATGTGTACGGTGTGCAGCTGGATGTGTGCGTGGCAGGTGGCTAGGGGTTTGTGTGTGTGTGCAGCATGTGGCTGGGTGTGTGCATTTGTGGCATGTGGTGTGTGGCTGGGTGTGTGGCATAAGGCTGGGTGTGGCAGCTGTGGCATGTGGTTGGGTGGGTTTGGCATGTGGCTGAGTCTGTGGGTGTGTGTGTGGTGTGTCGCTGGGTGCGTGTCTGAGGGGTGGGGGGGGCATATGGGGCTGGACACAGAGCGGGTGGGGGTGTTGCACGTGGCTGGATGTGAAGCTGTGGCAGCACAGGGTGGTGGTGCTCGGTCTCCACCGCCCGCCCGTCATTCTTGACGGGCATTTGGCTACTGTAGATAAGAAGCAGGGCTCCTGGTTTTCCCTGATTTAAAAAAAAAAAAAAAAAAATCACAAATTCTCTGATAAAAAAACCCAAATCTGTGATTAAAATAAAAGCCCCCCCGCTCCTGCCCCTCACTCCTTCCAAACCCCTCCAGCCCTGCTGGTGCCCCTTACCCCCCACCCACAGCACCTGCTCCCCCGGCCCTGCAAGAGGGGGCTCCTAGATGTCAGAGTTACACAGCCAGGGACCTGGGTCCACAGCCCCCTGCCTCTGGCAGGAAGCAGCAGCTGCTGCAGCAGAGCAGAGCCTGCCCCCCTGCCTGTCCACTGCGGGGGGCTGCTCCCCACCACAGCATACACTTTCGCAGGGCTAGGGAATCTATGCTCCCCATATCTGTATGTAGGGCAGGAGCTGAGCACTGACCTCTATGGGCTACCACCCTGCTGCTCTCCCTCAGGTCCTCTGCATCCCAGCATGTGCGACCTAACGCTGCAAGGAACAGCGGAGCTTCACAGGAAGCTGCCTGCCATTGGGCTCCATGCTGATCTGGCCATATGTCCTGCCTACAAGGCTGCAGTAGAGGCAGCAGTGTGAGGTTGTGTGTGGGGGACACAGGCAGTACAGGGCTTGCAGCTGCCAGGAGCTTTCTGCAAGGCTGCACTGTTCCTCATAGCACCGGCTCACACACGCTAGGCTGTGGAGGCTCTAGGGGAAGGCAGCAGAGTGGGAAGCATGAGTCTGAAGTAGGCAGCCTCCGCCACATGCACAGGTCTAGGGGGCATGGGTCCCCTCTACCCCCAGGGAGTGTATGCAGCAGGGGGAGCCAGCCCTGGCCCAGACAAGCCACCCACAGCCCCATCCCGCTCCTTACGAGGGCCCTCAGTTGTGCTTTGCAGCCCCAGGCCACAAGCCCCAGCCCTGCTCATCTCCCTCCTTCCCAACGGGGCCCTCAATCCCCACACTTTACCTGGAGCAGCTGCTCTCCAGGCTGCCTGGGGCTATGTGCCTATATATATGTGCCTGCCTGACTGCCCTCCTCCCGTTCCCTCCCAGCCCCTCGCAGGATGGAACTGTACCATCCTGCAGAGGGCTTGTTGCAAAACTGTAAAATCCATAGGTTTCTCCAGTTAAATGAGAAATTTGCATTTGCCTCCAGTAAAAGGTAAAATCCACAGTTTACCTCATTTTTCCATGGAAAAAAGAAAACCTGGATCCCTGGTAATAAGATCCAAGGGCAAAGTGAAAAAAGAAAATCTAGAAGTAGTTTTAAATGAACATCGGCAACAGGGTACACACAGGTGCATGTGCACCCCCTGAGAGTGGCAGTGCTCCCCCCTAAGCAAAGCACTGTGAGCAGCATCTGCAGTTGGCTACCACTTGCCATCCTCCCCCCCTTGCTGCTGACACCATCAGTGGTGCCTGTGGGTAGTCACTGATTGCCAACACTGTTGGTGGTATCTGAGGCAGCAGTCATAGATTGCCACCGATGACATCTGTGGGTGATAACCAACCGCTGGTGAGTGCTCACTCCTCCCCCGCGGCTGCTTGCAGCAGCTCCCCACTTGCCACTACCACCACCTGCAGGTGATCACCATGCCCCCCAGCCTCTGGGGGCACACACCATTCATGCATGGATATACGAAAGCAATCAGAGTAAGAAAGATTGGTAAGGGGGCAGCAGCTCAGTTGGAGGGAACAACCCCCTCCCCCAACATTCTTAGAACATACCAGTCCCCTACATGAGGGACACTACACCTATGTCATCATGGGTGAAATCAGTCAGGCTGCTCCTGTTAAGTACATCACAACAAGAGTCTTAATGATGTGTTTCTTACACAATCTGTTCCCTTGGGCTCAGCAGAAGAACAGGCTCAAGCTTTACAACTGAGGCCACAGAATACTCTTCATGTGGTAAACTGAGATGCTTGGGCAGGCAGCAAAATGACCAAGAGCCATTAATGCATTATGGCTCCTGCAAATCCCTCACTGCTACGTATACCGTAACTGCTGAAATTGTGGCATTTCAAAATTTTATGGGTGTTCTTTTTCTGTTGCTGTGAGCGCTCCATGTACAGAAGGAAGAGGTTAAACATTTCAAATCAAGCTTTATGTTGGAGGTATCTACCACTAAATGATTTGCTGTTAACAGTACACAATGGTTACAGAATTTATGGAGGACAGGGCGTTTATTGGACCAAAGGAAAAAAAAAAAGCTCCAAGTTCTTTGTGAAATCAGACTGTGACTACACCAATATGTTAGGAGTAATAAGCCACAGTTTTTTTTTTAAATTGTAAGTTTCTAGTTAAGCTATCTGAGATAGAAACATGAGGAATATAGTGCTACTTGAGCACTCATCTATATTTCTTCCCTATCCCCCCTGCCAGCTAAGAAAAAAAATCACAGCAATCCTTGCTTTGGTTTAACTCCATATTTGTACAGATATGATGGGATCTACAGTACTTTATTAGGAATATTGGATTTTAAAAATTTCGAGAGCATGATAAATGACTTTGATACAGTCCTAGCTAAAATTCACTTAAAGTCATTTATATCGACATGTTTTTAAATTGTAGGTAAAGAATAAAAACCTCATCGAGCCCTTGCATATTCCATTTATGGTCAAGAACACTACAATAATCATCATCATGTTAAGTTGCACTCAAACACTCTTATATCTGCTTTGTTTTCAGGTCTATGGACCATTACTCTTGTAGGTGGGAAAAATCTCTCTGATAAATCCTGGCACAGAGGCCAACTTTTGTACTGAAGTATTTTTTAAAAAAAGTGAGAAATTGCTCTCAGGAGCAATAATACATCCTAATTTTTACATCTTAAATCCCTACATAAAAGGCAGGATCCCATTGTGGCAGAAAACATATATATAGGCCAGGGGCAGGCAATTATTTTGGGCGGAGGGCCGCTTACCCAGTTTTGGCAGGCTGCAGAGGGCTGCATGGGTAGCCCCGCCCCTTGACAGGTGCCCCACCCCTTGGTCACCATCTTGGGCCCAATACCAGTGGGGCCCAGAGCGGGGCACAGCTCCTGCCACTCTGCTTTGGGCCCCACCAGCACTGGGCCCAGGACACTGCCCCATGCTCCTGCTGGCTCCCCACCCACTCACACCCAGTGCCCCCCACTCCCGTGGTACAGGCCGGGGGGCGCG